GAAATCCTTCATTACCGCCTATCGGGAATTTCTCCGAAAAAAGCCTTACGACTCACAGTGGCAAGTACCGAAGTGGCATCTTGCTCACAATTCTTTTCGCGCCTTTCAACTACTTGTTCTCCATGGATTCGCCGCCTTGCACAAACCCAAGCTTTTCCAGCACTCTCGTCGTCGTGCTCTCCGTTTGGGGTTCTCGCGAGGCGCTAGCCGGTATTCCGGACATAGCATGCCGTATCAACGTGTTTCTTGACCCAGTTCGCTTGTGGAGCTTTGAGCGCTCAGTAAGACGGGGTCATCCCCGTCTAGCCGCGCGAATCATTCGCCTTCATACGTCCCAGCTACCCGACCCTGCTATTCGCGACATCATGTGTAACGATCGAATATCGCTCGCAGCTCGTGAAGGCGACCTCCGTACCGTTCAGACATTTGTGCATTATTTTCCTGACCTTATCGTCTGCAGAGCCCCCGACGAAGCAGCCCTCTTCGGACACCTGCACGTGTTGGATTGGCTCTTTGACCATCCAGGACTTGTCTGCTGGGATCAATGCGCTACCGAAAATGCGGTATCTGGAGGTCATTTGTCTGTTTTGCTCTGCTGGGACCGGCGGTTCGTTATTCAGCCCAGTGATTCTTTACTCTTACAAGCAATTCAATGCGGCCATGACGCCATCGTCCACTGGCTTTGGTACGCCGCGCTTTCGCGGAATTGGTCTTTATCAATTCTAGAAGAAGCAATTTCTGTCGCTCCACTTTCGCTTGCCAAGTGGATGATCGGAGTTTGTGATGATATGCTCACATTTTCGCTAGACCCAGCAGCAGCTAGAGGACATTTGAGCTACCTTCACTGGGGCGCGTCAATTGGAGGAACAGCTTCACCCGACGCCATGGATTGTGCTGCAGCGGCAGGCCATTTCACTGTGGTGCGCTTCCTTCATAAGAATAACATTTGCGGAGGCTCCACAAATGCTATGGATGGTGCCGCCGGTAACGGACACCTCCGCATGCTTCGGTGGCTTCGCATAAATCGGTCTGAAGGGTGTTCGTCCGCCGCCTTCATTCGTGCCGCGCGTGGAGGTCACATCCCTATTATGCAGTGGTTATTCCAGCACTACAGCCATTTCTATCACCAGGCTACATTTGCACACGCAGCAGGATCGGGACACCTTGAACTTGTTCGCTGGCTGAGCACCCACTGTTCAACCAGCACCGATGCCATGGACTGGGCCGCCGCAAGTGGGCACCTAAATGTAGTAGCGTGGCTGTCGTCCAATCGTACCGAAGGATGTACCACAAATGCTATTGACGACGCATCCGCTAATGGTCACTTAGAAGTGGTGAAATGGCTTCACCTCTACCGGTCCGAAGGTTGTACACCGAGCGCTTTGGATGGTGCCGCTGCAGGAGGCCATTTACCTGTCGTTGTTTGGTTACATAC